TTTTTTTTTGAATATTACATTATACTCATGAAAGGAAAAAAAAAAAAAAAAAAACTCTTCTTCATTTTTCAGATAACATATAATTATATTTGTTAATAAAATATTAAATGGTGCAAAGTATAAATATTTATAAATAATAATATTTTTTGCATAATTTCATTAATCCATTAATTATTATTGTTCATCTTAATTGATCTCGTTCATCTCATTATAAAGTTTAATCGCAACATATAAAAAATTAGTAACACCATTTGTATACATCACATTTACTTTTTTTTTTTTTTGCTTTTATATTTATTATATATATATATATTTATTTTGAATTATTTGGTAAAATATTTTATATGAATATTAAAAACTGACTGTAAGTATATTTTATAACTTAACAAAGCAACAAAAATTTTATATGTTTATATATCTAAAACAAAAAAAAAGGTAAATAATATGAAAGGATATTGTTTATTTAAAAATTTTTAGACATAATTATATGAAAATATAAAAATATATATATATATATAAATTTACTATGTTTATTACAAATATTTAATTTATTATTTGATTAAAATATATACTTAGAAAAAATGTATTTTACAAAAATGAATTTATTAAAAAACTTTTACAATTCATTCATTTTTATAAAGAACAATTATTTTTCTTTTGTATTACAAAAATTGTAATTTAACATCGATTGTTAATTGTTAAAAAAAAAATTTACAACATTTATGATTTTAACATTTTATGAATGTATTTGTAAAACTTTTATACATGTTTTACTAAGTGAGGTATAAATGAAATTACATAAAAAAATGCTAAAATCATATTAAATTAATTGAATTTTTTATATTAACAAATAATTATATCGATAATATCATCGTTTTCTAAACCTATCGATGAGGGTGTTTCTAGGGGATCTAATACTTCACCATCGAAAAAAAATTTAATTTTTTCTAAAGGGATTTCTATTTGTTCAGCATACCTAATCATGCCTGATTTTATCAAGTCATTTTTTTTTAATGGTAAATTAATAACTTTTTTATTTGAATCTTGAAATTTTAAAAGTACACTAGAGTTATCATATTCAGTGTTAATTGTAACAGAATTACTATTGTTTGTCGATTCTTTTATTAAACCACCTTCTAGAAAATCAAACACTTGTAAATTTAACGAACTCGGTGTATCACAATCATTTATTTTATTACCATTAAATGTTAATATTATTTTATTTTCAGGCACATTTTCTTCTTTCGATAATTCTCTATGTATTTTAGAAATTTTTTGAAACTTTCTTATTTTAAATTTTTTCACCGATATTGATTTCCAAATAACTTTTACTGTGACTTCAGGATTAAGATCTTCTTCTTTCACATTATCAATTTCATTTAAACTTTTTTTTGAATTAACTTCTGCAGAACTGTTTTTCAATGGTACATTTTTTCTTTTTCTTTTTATTTGCTGATTAAAAGGTTTCTTATTATATGTGGGAAGAGAGTGATAATCTAAAAGGATATCTTCATTCAAACTGTAATTATTCCCATACTTTTTTTTTATTCTTGCACTTCTTCTGCAAATGTTATTTGATATTTCCTCGATAACTTCAACAGAATCTTCTAATTCAGAATTATTATCGGAATCTTGTAAGTCAATCACTTCAAAATTATTAGTAAAATTTGATCCTATTTCACTACATTCATTGTCTTCATTGTCTACTTCGATTGTTAAGGTTTTATTTTTATTTCTTTTGCCCTTGTTTTTTTTATATGTTACATTACGTTTTTTACATTTATTTGAAGTATTATTTTTGTTATTTAAAGAATTAATTTTTTCATCTATAACTTCATTATTTTCATTACTACTTAAATTTTCACTGGAAAGAGAAACGTTTTTTTTTAATAGTTTCTCCAATTGAGTATTAAATTTTTTTTTAATATTGCTAAAGCTGTACAAATCAAAACTTTCATTAGAATCATTTAAAGATTCGTTTAAGGAATCATTTGAAAATTCTTTACCAAGCATTTTTAAAATTATCAAGTACTGTTGTCAAACAACTTGTGTAACTTTTATCTGATACCACGTCAATTTTTTTTTTTAATAATTTAAAAAATAAAATAAATCTCTTGTATTTTTTATATTTACAATTTGTTTTACGTAATTTAAAATGTTTTTTTTTTTTTTTTTATTGATTAAAACTTTAATAGTGTACACATGTGTTTTAAATATTATTTATGGCACTCACATTTACTTAAATTTTTTTTTTTTTGTAAACTTCGTTTAAAGCTTTTATTGTAAAAAATTTTATATAATTTTATTATTTAAATTTAAAAAAAAAAAAAAAAACAATTAACCTTCGTAAATTTTTATAATATTAATGGGAAAATCAAATAATAATTTTAAAATGCGCCAAAACTTTGGTCAATGCCACCGTCATAAATGAAATAGAAATATGAAAAGACCTTAAACATTCCAAGGTCGGTGACAAATTGCATTAAGAAAATGGCGGATACTGGTGGTGAACTTAATCCACCTAAAAAAATCGGTATGTTTATTCATTTACGTTACATAAATATTTTTAATTATTATTTTAATATTTGATTTAACCATTTTAAATAATTTTTATAACCTCTAGTTTTTTAATTAATTATTTATCCACTTATTTTCGACACAACTGGGCTGGCCCTATGATCCTACTTTATTGGTTCACACCTTTGATAAAAAAATTTGATGATCTAATGCTTATTTTTTTTCATTTATTCTTAATAAAACTAAACATTTTATACTATTCTCACTAAATAATTTAACTCTTTTCTGAAATTTTATCGTAATTTTTGTTTTTTTCCATAAAATTTTTTTTGAATTCCATATTAATAGGTATTAAAAAAAAAAAAAAAAAAAAATGAACAGATCGATCGAAAATTTTAATATTACTCATTATTTTTTAATATTAAAATCATCCCTTGTCAATATTATTAATAATTCATTATTATTTTTTTATTAATGAATTTTGTGCAATAAATTTATTAAAATGTATTTTTTAAGTTTCAAATAATTCAATTTGGTGCCTTTGAAATATTTCAACTATTAATGCAAATGGTTTGAAACAGATTTATCTTAATATAATTATCTTTTAAAATTTTGATTAAAATTTTTAAAAAGAGATCTTTAACAGAAATTTTTTTAAACAACTTAAAATAAGTAAGAGACTATTTTTTTTCTTTTTTTTATCATAATTACTAACAATTGTTTGTAATTACACTTAAATTTAATGTCAATTAAGTTAGTTGATTACTCTTTAAAAAAAAAAAAAATTATTTTATTTTTAATGGTGGTCTTGAAAAAACTATTTTTTTTATTTTTCTTTTTCACATTTTAAATAATCATCATATATGATTTCTCTTTCTTGACTCTAAAATTGTCCCATGATTTCATTTTAATTTTTTAAAAAAAATTTTGATAAGACCAAACAAAAGTTCAAGAATAAATTTTTAATAATATATATGTATATGAATAATTTTTCATTTTCTTATCACAAAATTTTTTTACGTATCTACTCACTAACCGTCATCGAATATTTTTATATTTGTCGTAATAATAATAAAATTTATTATTATTATTCTTATTGACTTTCATCCTGTTCTAATTCTTTTTTTTTAATTTTTGCCAGGTTTGCAAGTTTACATTATTTAAAAGAAAGAAAGAAAGAATCACATTACTTAGGACATTGACCATTTAATATGTGTTTTCAGGTCTTCTTATAACAATTAATATATATCTTTTCTCGCTTTAGCGTTTTTTTTTTTTTTTATCAATCATTGAATATTTTTTTAGTTTATTATATTTATATCGAAATTAGTTGATTCTTTTTTTTTCTGAATTCATGTGTTTCTTTGAATGGTCTATAAAAATAATATTTGGCAAAATGCATAACAAGGCCAAGGTAGTTTTTTTTTTTTTTTTTTTTTTTTTTTTTTTTGCAAACTTAAATAATTAAAAATTTTTTTTTTTTTGAATTCATTTCATAATTTTTTAGTATTCGAGTTTGATGTGTGCTTGTAATTAAGTGTTTTATTTCATCTCAAAAATTGTTTATCGAAGTTTGGGTTGGTAGTGATACAAGTTATGTTAGTTATTGTTTTCGAATAATTTTTAATAAATGAATTATCATTATCAAAAAAATTTTTGACTCGATTAATACTAAAGATTACAAAAAAAAAGAACTCTGTATAAATTTTATTAAAAAAAAAAAAAGAGGGTGGATTTATTTGTTAAGTTTTGAATTATGCTCAATGTGATTTTGTTTTTTTTTTTTTTTCTTTCTTTCTTTCTTCATCTTCTTCTTCTTTTTCTTTTTCTTTCTCTCTCTATACATTTTTTGACATGTTATCATGATTAATTTTATGAATACCAAATGTGTTTGAAAAATGTTACTTTTTTTTTTTTTTTTTTGTGTGTTCCATACAAAAAAAAAATTATGATTGATATGTCTACTAAGTAAAAAGTAACAAAACAAATGTTTTTATCATTTGTAATATTTTTTTTTTTTTAGTTTTAAGTATGGTGAAATCTTTTATTTAAAAATATGCTTTGGAGAAAGAAAATGTTTTATTTTAATTGTTATTTTATTTTGATCAATTTTTTTTTTTTTTTTTTAGTTTTTAGTTTTGTTTTCATTCATTGTTTTGTTGTTGAGTTTTTTTTTTTTTTTGGTCTGAAATGTTGCTTTCAATTTTTAGCAGTTTATGAATATTTTTGTGTTGCCAAAATTAACTTGTCCTTGCCATCTTCGCAACGCCAACATTTTATAATTAATTCCTCCCAATATCATATATATATATATATATATATATATATTTATACACATGTATAATTATTATTATTATTATTATTATTTTTAATTTAAAACTCCACCATAATTATTTTCAATGTGATTTCTTTTCCTTATTTTGTTCTCATGAAAGGATGAGTAAGTAGTTTTTGCGGTTGAGCGATTTTTCGGACTTTTTTTTTTATAAAACTTTAATATATACAAATTTTTTTTTGATAATTAAAACTAACGAAAAATTTTAAATAAATAAGACTTTCTATTACTACTACTACTACTACTACTACTTCTGTTGTCCTTTTTCTTCTGTTGTTCAATTAAATTTTTGTTTTATTAAAATTCCACCCCTTTAAGGTTTTTTTTGTAATTACGCGAATCCGCCCTTTTTTTTTTTTTCGTGTAATTAAAAATCATTTTCACCGTAAAAAAGTTTTTTTTTTTAAAATAACCAAAGGAAATTTTTTACATGGTACATATGCCAAAATAATATACACAGACTAATTGGTCTTGTTGTAGTCCTTGAAAATGTAAATTCGTCTGCGAGCACATGGTGTCCCTTTAACTTAGTGGGCCTCGTTTTAATCCAACACTCATTTCGATGCATCTTTATATATTATTCCCCTCGTTTTTTCTAATTTAATTTATTTATTCATTTTTTTAATGTATTTTAGTTTGTTTGTTTGTTTGCTTTTGTAATTTTATGTCGTAAGGCAATGTTTAAGAATTTAATAATAGTATGGAAAAGGTTAGATTTTTTTTTATTTCTTTCCTTTGCGAGGGTGGTTGTTTTCAATACTTTGCTGATATTATATAACTTATGTTCAAATTAAACGATCGATTAATTTGAATAAATTTTTTTTAGTTTAAAAAGAAAAAAATAGAAAATAAAATTTAAAAAGAGAGAGAGAGAGAGAGAGAAAAAAATTGAATGTTTTTAATTTGTAAAACGAATTTAAATGCGGAAGGGCAGTGAGAATTTATTTATTTATTTATTTATTTACGTTATTGTTAAAAATCAGTTAAACCATTGTGAACAAATTTTTTTTTGTTATACATAAAACTAACCATGACACGTCGTTGAAATAGCATTGAAAAAAATGATGAGAGAGAGAGAGAGACCAACAGTTTTTCTGTTTTGTTTGTTTTTTTTATTTTTTAATTTTTTAAATTGCAGACGCCCGGGAAAAGTTAAGGGTGGTCCGGGAAAAGCAAGCAGAAGAACGTCAAAGACGTTTAGAAGAACTCAAAAGACATGCACTCGAGGCTCAACAATTGAGGGAACAGAAAGAGTTGGAGAGAAGGAGGAGAATGGAAGATTTGAGGCAGAAGGAAAATGAAAAACGTTGTCAGGTAATAATAATAATAATAATAATAATAATAAGCGTCAATCCTCTCATCCAATGAATAATTAATTATCGTGTAAATAATCACAAATATCCGGTTGTTAATTTTAAATTAATAATGATTTTTTTTTCCCTTTTTGCATTATTATTATTATTATTACAATTATTTTGTTTTTTTGTTAACAGGTCGAAGAGAGGAAGAGACAAATTTGGGAAGCAGAAAAAGAGAGGAGAGAAGCAATAGTGAGAAAAAATCAAGAAAGGGAAGCAAGAATAGAAACGAAAAAAAGGAACGAAAGGAGTTCGATCGTATTCGCATTTGGAAGTTCGACTCCTCGTTTACTTGAAACAACCGACAGCAGCAATAGTTTTTGGGGACCCAGAAGGTGATTAAAATAAATATATAAATAATTTTAATTCTCGCGTGGGGGTTTTTTTTTTTTTTTTTTTTTAATTAAGAAAAAAAAAAGAAGAAGAAGAAAAGATAGAAACAATCAAAAAAAAAAGTTTGAAAGAAACTCTTCGTGAGTTTTTTTTTATTAACCGGTATGTATAATAATAATTAGTTACACATTTTAAATTTGTTTGAATTTATTTATTTTATTTTTTTTTTCGTCTGCAAATGAAAGAAATGTGTATGTGTGTGTGCGTGTGTGTATGTTTTTACACGTCAAATGAATAATTACTCAATCGAAAATAATTATTGATTAAAAAAAAAAAAAAAAAAGGAAAAAACTCTCATAGTAGAACTAAACGTGTTGCTTGTGAGATAGTTTGAGTGTTAAATTAATTATTAATTTTTGATTGGTCAAACCACTTTCGAAATTAACGTTATTTTTTTTTAATTTTAATTTTTTTTTAAATTGAATTTTAAATTCTTTTCAATTGTTAAAGTTAAAGGGGATTAGACGAATGTCGTGTCAATAATAAAAATAAAAATAATAATAATAAAAGTGTTAAAATACGATTTCGATCTCGCGTTATTATTATTTATTTCGAAATTTCAAAAATAGAAAATTAAAAAAAAAATACGAATAGGAATAGGAATTCGATAGAGTGTTTGGAATGGTGTTTCAAATCTTTGGAAAATGTTTTTCACGTGGTCACAGAGCAATTTTTACATTTCTTACAGGGCAACATCAACGGCTAATTTGAGGTTATTTCCGACGACGACGACAACCCCGACGAATCCTTTGTCTCGAAGACCCTCGGAACGTGAATTAGAACCTAAGAAAAGAGCTTCTTCTGCTGGCGGACTCTATAGGAATCCCGGTGGTGAGTCTAATTTTGAAAACCTTTTCATTATTATTATTATTATTATTTTTAATTAGTTTGTAAAGTTGATTCGGTTCGATAGAACGGGGGGGGGGGGGGGGGAAATTAAAAAAAAAAAACATGGACACTTTAAAAAGGAAAAAAATTTTTTGTTATTTTCGGAAATCCAAAAATAGTGCTTTAAAATATATATATATGCTTCCGTTTCTGGTAACTAAATTGGTCTGAATCTTTTTTAAATTTTTTTAAAATTTTTTTTGTCGCAGCTTTATTCTTATTTTTATATCACATTTTTATATATTAGTAATAATAATATTTGCTCGTGCGCCTATTGAATTAAAAGTGCAATAAATAAAAAAAGCTACGAAAAAAAAATTTATTGTTAGTGTTATTCGTAGTAGAATGTGGATCTTTTCGATTTTCGAAATTAAAATCCCTGCAAATTCTTGTGTGTGTGTTGATTCTCTTCACGTGGGGGCAATCAATCTATATATCACGCATAGTAAGCTCAATTTTTTTTTCCGGCGCTCGAAATAATAATAATAATAATATATGCTCGAATAATTAAATGTGAATTTACACGATGGCAAAAAACTTTTTTTTCCATTAATCAATATTATTATTATTATTATTATCGCTTATTTAAAAAAAAAATAAAACTTGCAAGTAATTTCTATTAGAGAGAAATGTTTTACTTTATTATTATTATTTTATTTTATTTTGCTGCACACAATTTGCGATCGTAATTATTAAATGTTTGAAAAAAGAAACGAAAATAATTTTGAAAAGATGGAGTTTTGTTGTTATATATATATATAATTTTTACAGATCTAATGTCTACATCTATGTACGAGGTGTTTCACTGGGATACAGAACCCTCCTCTAAACCTCGCCTTTCTCTTGCCCCAAATCCCGATCCTTTACTTTCTAACATTGACGATCCTTCGTCGGGTCCCCTAAATCCCCATTTAAGTAAATCTTTTCACATTTCTCACGCCGGTGAGTTAAAAATATAAAATGTTCGGATTTTTTATTTATTTATTTTTATTTATTAATTTATATATATATATATAAATACGTACAGATGATGTTTATTTACCTTTCTTGTTGTTTTGTTTTGTTTTCTTTTGTTTGTTTCGGATAGAAAATAGATAGATGGCTGTGTTTGTTGCTGTTTGATTTAAAAAGGTTTATAGCAGTGCTTTTCTTTTTTTTTTTTTTTAAATAACGAGTTGGTTACAAAGGAAAAAAAAAAAAAGGCAAAATGTTTTTTTTTTTTTTTTTTTTTTTTTGGGACCCCAAATTAC